GAAAGTTACAACATCTTTATTTTATCAGTGAAGAAAATGAAGTTCAGATAGCTCTAGTACCTTCCCAAGGTCATCCTATAAATAAAACTATAAATGGCAGAACCGGAATTCAAACCCAGTTCAGCTTTCCAAACGAGGTAAAAGCTGAGTTAAAGCTCCAAGTTTCTGAAGCTAGGTCATTGGCAAAATAGTCATGTTACTGTCAGAGCCAATGAAGTTGGGAAAGAAAACTGATCTGGGGTGGTAGGTGGAATAGTTATAATAGTTAATATTCTTTCATTCCTTTAGTAAGTAATCAAGACACTGTCACTGTTTTATCTTTCATTATTTACCACTAATAATTTGCTCCACGTAAAATTATATGAATTAAGTATTATTATCATCCCCATTTTGCAGATGCAAAAACTGAGACACATCGAAGTTATAAAACTTAAAGTGTCCCACAGTTAGTGATTGGCAGAGCCAGGATTTTGTTTCAGTGCTCTTAATCACCATATTGTAATGGCATGGATTTAGATTATAGTGAATTTGGGTGGACAGCAGGACATGCAAGCAGGAATGTCTGGTAGGCAATTATCAATAGCTTGGGCCTGGGACCTAGGAGCCTCTGGGTGAGCTCTGGAGCCCTTTCTGAGGCCTATCCCTGCTTTGGCCTGTAAGCCCACTCACAGCTAGACACTGTCTGTCTGGTCCTCAGCTTCATGGCCCGTTTCTCCATTCTCCATGCCTTTCCCTCCAGCTCACCTGAACACCCACTTTCCCAAACATTTGCCAAACCCTCCATATCTCAGGGCTTGATTCATACTCTCTCTTCCCCTAGAAATACCCCCTCACTTCTACCTCCTTCTGCCAATATCCTTCCCCTCCTTCCATCTCTTCCATTAAATCTTTTCTGATTTCCAACTGATCCAGTTACTCCCTGTCCCCTTTAAAATACTTTGCTTTTACCTCCCATGCATTCATTGAGCACCTACTATGTACCAGGCACTCATTAGACTGGCGATACCATGGTGAACACAAATAGACACAGGTTCTGGCTCATGGGGGTCTATGGTCACACAAACATATGTAAATAACACTTGGGACAAATGTTTTGAAGATGTGGTGACTAGTCTCTATTCGCCTGGAGCAACAGAGGAAGAAATAGAGTCGGGAATAAGAAGAGGAGATGAAATGTGTGGGTAATTGTCTCTATGAATAACTGCCTCCTTTACTATATGACCAGAAGAACTGGATGGTGGTCAGATACCATTACCGAAAACTTTCATCAAAAATACTACAGAAGGGTCTTGATCAAAAGGAAGAAAATGCAGAACAGAACTTCAAATTTTCATAGATTCCAGACTTTCTGGCAGCATATAGGATGCATGAACCCATAAAACTATTGTCCTGAGATAATCTTTACTCCTTAAAACAAAAATGTTCCCTTGATGTCTCTTAAAACCAACTAATAGTTTATTTAAGTGGTAAAAAAAAAAAAAAAAAAACTGCCATAAGCATTATGATCTTTTAAGATCTGTATGGGATCAAGTTGACAACAGTAACTCCAAAGATTAGATAGGAAACTTAGGGGGCAGCGAACTTATGTTAATGAAGGGAGAACAACTCAGAAAAGGAGAGTGAGAATGGCTGCACAACTTGAAGAATGTAATCAATCTCATTAAATTGTACATGTGGAAATTGTTGAATTGGTGTATGTTCTGCTGTGTATATTCTAAGCAACAAAAAAAAAAAATTTTTTTTAATGTTAAAAAGAAAAAAAGAAGATCCTTGGGGAACAATTTTTTAGAAAAAAGAAGTGGTGGATGGTGTGATCAGGGATTTAAGAAAGTCGAGAGAAAGCCAAGGAAGGCTACATGGCCTTGAAAGTTATGCTTGAGCAGAGAACCAGAGAATATGCAAAGGGGAGGGAAGAGCAATTCAAGCAACCACCTGTGCAAAGATTCAGAGGTAGTCTATGGTCACTAATCTTTTGTCTTATGTCATTGAGATCTGAGTCTTGCATCAACCCAAACATACACTTCCATTCTGCAGCATTCAAAACTAAAGACAGTGACCCTAAATTAGTCGCTTTCACAATTCCTTTTAGTAAAAATTCCTCAGGAAGCTGGAAATGCTGATCTACAAATTGAAGCAATTCCTTTACACTGTACTCCTTGGTTTCAATAGTTACTTGGTTTTGCCATTTCCCTTCCTGGACCTCTTGGTGACCGGCAGTTATAGGAGTGTTGCCTATTTTCTGACATAACTTTTTCTTTCCAGGTTGGCTCTGAGGCTAGCAGTTGTAGCTCCAACTGGACTGGATCTGGGCTTGGTTCAGTGCCGTAACCTACCCTACACTCTTTTTCCCTGCCATTGCAGCTATTACTAATAACAGCAACAGAGGAATTGTATATCTCACCCTTCCCTCTATCACTTCTTGCTTCCATATGCATCTAACCAACCAGTTTCTTGGGAGTTAGCCACCACTTCCATCTTCCTTGAACAGATTTTGCCTTGCTGCTACATAACAGGTGCTTCAACCCACCGGTATTTTTTGTTTTGTTTTGTTTTTTATCCCATCCAGATACCAAAGGTCTCTCATTGTCTTGTTTATCCCCTATTTTCCAAAACCACATATTCTAGTGATTCTGGGCCACTGCAACAAATCCATCATTCTAACACCAACTACATGAATAATTTGAAGGATCAGCACAAAGCTGGTTCCTACGAGGTGGAAGTTAAAGATATCCCAGATGTCCATCTTTTCCAAATTGCTGTCCCACTCCTTCATCTCTAACATCAACTACTCCTTTGCGCTCAGTGCTCTCCCTCCTGTCTTTAACCAAAAACCAAACCAAACTCACTGCCATCGAGTCAGTCCCAACTCATAGCAACCCCTTCTTGGGTTTCCGAGGCAGTGTCTCTATGGAAGTAGATGGTCCAGTCTTCCTTCTGAGGAGTGGCTCTGTTCTTTAGGTTCCATAATTCACTGCAACATCTCACAGAACTCATGAATCATACTTACATGGAAGTGGTTTATTAGGGAAGTAATAGAGCACAACTCAGCATCAGGAACAACTCAGAAATAACAGGAAGAATTCAGGATACAGTTCTTGATCAGGACAGCTTCCTTTCACCCTCTGCTGCTGGGCTCTTCTCAGGCAAATGTTAGAACTCTTAACTCCATGAGTCGGCATGTCCCACCCAAGCTGTCTTGCTCAGTCTCTTGGTTCCTGCCATCCTTCACCACTGTTGCTTGTCACTGCTGTGCTGCTCTTTCTCACTGTCTTCTGTGTCACAGCTCCTCCCTCTTTCTCTCCACATCTGCCTTTAAGCCTAATGGGATAGCAAAATAACCAATTCTCTCTTTAGGGTTCCATACACCTTATTTGCATGCCCCCCCAAAAGTTTTCCATGCACCTTATTTACATTAGCAGCAAGCTGTCCAACCTCATTGGAGAACCACAAACACTTTGTTTGCATAGTCCCACTGAATCATTATGTCCAAAGACTGTGGCTGCAAGGGCCATATTAAGTAATTCACTGCACTGCAATCACTGTTTTTTATTGCTTGTTTTCTTCCCTTCCTCGAGTAAAGCTTCCATAAAGCTTACTGCTATGGAGTCAATTCAGACTCATAGAGACCCCCTTTTGGGTTTCTGAGGCAGTAAATGTTTATGGAAATAGATTGCCCTGTCTTCCTTTCCTTCTGTGGAGTGGCTGATGGGTTTGAACCACCAACCTTCTGGTTAGCAGTCAAATGCCTTACACACTGCACCACTAGAGCTCCTTAGCGTCTATAAGCCAAGGACTGTGTCTGACCTGTCTATCTATTCTACATAGGACCTAGGACTGAAGTTTGCCAGGGCAGAGAGATGCTTGTCTAAATGGACTGAAGAAGCATTGGCTGTTTCTGTAGGATCCTTGGCACAACATCCCCAGAGTACTTTGAGTACTGAGAGATCATCCTGTGCCCTTCTCCACCCACTACCACATTTCTTGCCCCAGGCGCAGGTATATGTCTGTCCTGGATGAAGGTATCTTCTTGAAAAAGATACCTTCTTGAGCTAGGACTTCAGATCTCACTCCTCTGTGAACAGGGAGGTAGCCTACTCTTGTGAATTCCTTGCAATCCATCAAGTGTGGGGCCACAGCAGGAACACCAGGATAGTTTTGCAGGGTGGTGGCATTTATGAGGACCTCTAAGTCCTTTTCTCTTACTGCTTTCCCCCTTGCCCACCCTGCTTCTGCCACACCAAATTCTCTCTGCCCCCTGAATACACAGTGACCATGACCATCTTAGTCCTTTGTACTACTGTTCCTTACACCAGGAATGTTCTTGCTCTACATTTTCAAATGGCTATCTCCTTACCATTTAGTTCTCTCTTAAAAGCACTTTCAGAGTGCTTTTGTCTGAGCACCACGGTTAAAGGAATTCTCCACCTCTCTAACCTAGTCACTGTCTGTCCCATTGCTGTTTTTTATTTTCTCCAAAGAACTGACTCCAGTCTAAAATTGCTTTTCTATATTCTTTGCCTGCCTATAAGAACATAAGCTCCATGAGGGCAAGAATTTTTCTGATTTCCCAAGTGACTGAAACAGAAGATGTACTCAGTAGAATGGATGAATGAATGTCCCCTCTGAGTAAGTACCTGGATTTAGAACTGGGACTAGTTTGGGGATAATTCCACATTGCATTTAAGATTCCAATGTAGATCCCACTGGTGGTATGAGCACATCTCAACTGTTCACCCCTGTTGTTTACTACCTCTCCCATATCTGTTTCCACTTACTTTCAGTCACATCAAGTTCTACCACTTATTAGCATTTTGCCCTTAGGCAAGTCATTTCACCTTTCTGTAAACTTCAGTTTCTTCCTCTGTAAAATGAGGCTGCTGAAAGCTTCCACACTCATAGGGTGGTGGTGAGGGTTAAATGGGATAGCTTATGCAGAGTGCTTAGTAATCAGTGCCTCACACTTAAGAAGTGCCCCCTAAACTACTATCGTGGATACCGTTATGGTCAACCACATCTCCCTTAGTCACTCACAGCCATCTATCACTATCCCGTCCCTCGAAGCTCCAAGCGCGCCTCCCAACCGCCCACCAGGGGGCCCCACACGCCGCTCTTCCTGCCCTGGCTGTCTGGGCCTTTGCTTCCCTACTGGCTCAGATGGCAGCTCGGTCATCGCTCCGCCGGTGCTCCTAAGGCATGTCAGCCAGGTACAACGAGAAAGATCAGGTACTCCCTGATTTCAAGGAGCACCATCCTGAAGGGGCATGGTGGAAAAGGTTGGGAGGAAAAGATAGCCCTGACCTAGACTTGGGGGTGGGAAGAGATAAGAGTGCCCTTTGGAACGAACTCTCCCTGCCAAGCCCTCAGCCCTCATTCCAAATGCCTAAACTCTTGGCATTAAACAGCCTACACCTCACCTGAAATTCTCTTTATCCCCAGCACCTCAGACCCTATCCTGAATACTCATTACAAACACTTCAGCCTTCACACCAAAGTATCCTCAGCCTCTCACTCCAGAATTTCAATCCCTCAACCCATTCATAAGTTAAGCCCCCTCACCTTGAATACCTCCTCTCCTCGAAAAAGTACCTCAGCCATTCATTTAATCCTTGATTCTTAATCTTTTTCTTCTGCTCTTAAACACATGAGGGATAGGAAAATACTCCCACCATTGACTGTGGCTCAGTTGACAGTAGTGGAAGGGGCCATCCAACTTTCCTGTGTGTGGCTGTTATTTGAAAAAGCTTTTTCTGTGTCTTCCATGAGAGAGCCATCTCTCACACTCCCTTCTGGTTTGGGGATTACTTATTCAAATGTTTCCATCTGTCCTTCTCACTCTTGTCCATCCCATTGTCACCTCTTCTCTCTAGTTTCAAATGCCTCACCACTAATGACTATCTCAGAGTCCCTCAGAGAGAGGCTGTAACCTCACCACCCCTAATGCTCCAAAACTATTCATAGATCTTTGAGTCAGATAGGACCTCAGCAACCACTAGCCTGGTGGATTTCTTACTTCCTTTTAGCCAGAGACTCTTCTCTTTAACAATATGCCAGGTAGAACCCCAATATCCATGTGGCATAGAGCTATGCAGTCCTCAGGGTTTTGTGGAATATGGTTTGAAAACCTCTCATTAATTCAAGACTGAATTCCCTTCAGAATTTATTTTATAACATCTCCAACAAGTGGGTAGCTATTTTGTTTTTCCAAGGACTTCATTTCCCTTACATTCAGAAACCTCATTTTCAATGGCCCCATTTTTCTAAGGTCTGAAGAATAAGTACCCTTATACCCTAAAATTGGATTCTAAAATTAGGGAGGAAAGCGTCTTTCTCTCATTCAGGGGGCAGTCCCGTGTTTAGAGCCTTCAAAGAGAAAGATTGGCAGAATGGTGAGGGTCCCACCCCATGGGGTCTCTCTGGTGGTTATCAGGGCATCGATTTCCTGTGTAATTCCCTGTTCCCAGTGCTGTGGGCATGGCCTGAGCACTGGCGCTACCCAGGGGACTGGCTGCAACCGGAACATTGAAGCCCATGGACCCTAGGAGGTTGCCATAGATACTGATGCGCAGGGAACCGGCGAGCTCGTAATTGTTTATATGTATCTTCCTTCTAATTGCTGTGGGGTAGCTGGAGGTTGTGTGGGTGCTACAGCAATGGGAATCAAGGAGGGTGTGTGTGAGTGTGTGCATTTGTGCGTGCACACAGAGGTGTCTAAAGGGTGCTCCAGATTGCCACTGCCGACAAGTCAGCATCTGAGCTACTGAGAGCAGTACTGAGGGAGAAATGAAGTAGCATAGAAAAAAAGAGAATGGATGGAATTGCTTTCTAACTACGTGAATCCTAATTTTCTACCTTATTTGGATGTTTCGCCAAGTAAGAAGCAGTACAAAGCACGTAGTAGGCAGTTGATAAATATTTGCTGAAAGGCAGCTAGCTGTACTTACACAGCACAATTAATCAACAGGGCTTTACCCCCAATATTTTTCTCATCACTCTTACTTTTATCCACCCAACTCAAAATTCTTTATATGGTTACCCTGAAATATCCAATGCGGAATCCTCACCCTCGTCCAGGATGATAGCCCCTCTCAAAGCAGGCGTGTGAGAACAGTCAAGGTTGTAATCCTGTTTTTACTTTTTCCCCTGGGATACCCTCAGGGCACTCCATGGCAGCCCTAGTCTGTGCTTGTTCTGACCTCTCTCTGTCTCCTCACTCTACCTTGTATTAATGAATATAAAGTTTCAAGTATCAGCGTCTGGAGGTCAGGAACCAAGTCGCCTTGAGAACTCTGGAAGGGCACATTGATGATTAACTGATATGCAGCCCACAGTTCTGAGTTCTTTGTCTTTACCCAGAGCAAGGAGCTTCTGTCCCCATTTCTGGAGAATGGTCTGAGTAGCCTCACTTCTGCCCGTAAGGTGGATGACAAAAACTCAAGACTAACTGATATATGTATCAGTATATATGTCACACAGGAGCTCTGGTAGCATAGTGGCTAAGGCACTTGACTGCTAACCAGAAGGCTGGCGGTTCAAACCCACCAGCCACTCCTCGGAAGGAAGATGGGGCAATCTACTTAGTGATACTGCCTCGGAAACCCAAGGAGGGGTCACTATGAGTCGGGTCCGACTTGACGGCACATAACAACAACAACAACATATATGTCACACACTGGGACTGCCCCCCACTGGGACTTGGGAACTGACTTTCACCCTGGTGCTCTGAGATAGGAAGTGGCCTTACTCCTCACCGTTTTACTTCCTGTTGCCTTGGGGAGGGGTGGGGCATAGTACTCTGTCACCTTTACCCTTTCCCTTGACCCTCTCTGCTCTCCTCCCAGGAAATCTGTTAATGCTTTTCCTCGTGTGCTCCATTCCTTCCTATTCTTTGATTGCCCCCCGTAGGCAGTCTGGTTTTTGGACCAGCTCCTAGTGCTGTTGGGAAAGGAAAGGAGGAAAGCCCTCCCTGGGAGCTTTGCTCCACCCCCCCACCCCCCGGGGAGGCAGCCTAGGAAGCTGGGACACTTCTTAGCCTCTCAGCTGCCTCCTCTGGTGAAGAAGTTGGCTGACAATGAAGGTCCAACTCCCCATGGGCATCCTGCTTTAATCAAGACTGAGCTGCAGCACTTGGTGCCAGCCCTGCCCTGACCAGTTGGGGCTGATTGGGATATAGCTGCCTGGGCAGGTTGGGAACCTGCCCAGGGATACAGTTATGTGCCTATGTCCCAACAGCCTGTAATGGTCAGGATGGAGGAAAGGGTGGCAATTCCCTCTGCCATGGTCCCAAAGAGCCCCTTCACTCCACAAATGTTATAATGGTGAACAAAGGAGGCAGAGGCTTTGCCCTATTGCAGCCTACAATTTAGTGAAAAGGTAACCATTAAACAAATAATAGCTAATGTATATCATTCTGATTAGATGCTAGGTCTATGCTAAGTGTTTTACATGATCTAGCTCATTTAACTGTCACATCCCTATAAGGTACATATGATTATTCCCAATTTTCAGATAAGGTAACTGAGGCACAGGAAATTTAAGTGACTTGTCTCAGGTCACACAACTAGTCAATGAGTGGCCCAGAGTTCTAAGCCAGTCTGACTGCAGAGTTCACGCTTTCAACAGCTAGTTCTAGTGACATAAAATAAAAGTACAAGGTGCTCTGCAAGAAAATGGGAATGCTTTCTTCTCTCTTCTACTTGCTCTTCTAGATCCAATGCGCAAAGCCTTTTACCATCTTTCCCACTTCATCCTTTCTGTTACTGGCCTGAAAGAGAACATTCTCTCATCTCTCAGGTTGGAGTGCAGGGAGGCACAGTTTCACCTACATCTTTGCCCCTGACCTATCTCCCTAATCAAACAGTGCCTGAAGAGTTTCCTCCAGTAATGGTCCTGATGCTTGCTCAAGTCTAGACTGTCAGTTCCCCAAGGGTAGGCGGCGGGAGGCTGGATCTGCACAGGCTGGGGGGTGCCTCCCACGTGTGCAGTCTGTCTGACACTGGCTCTTGACCTTGTCCCTTTGCTCATCTTGTGAGCCGGGCTGAGGGCTTAGTACCCAGTGTGCGGGGCCTGCTCTAGCGATCTCGTGCTCTAGCCCCCTACACCCCAACATACACCACCCTCGCGCGCACAGTCCCAAGCTCTTGCAGATTCCGTCCCGGGACGAGCCCACAGGTCATGAACCTTCCATATCTCTAGCCCGGGCGGGTGGCTGGGGGCCCGGATCACCCCTCCTCTCAGTTCCCTTGAGCTTTGGGCCGGGCCTGGGCGGCTCCCGCGGAGGGGCGGGGC